TAACAAAGGTTACAAGCTCTTAAACAGTGTCAGCTGTACAAATTATCAAACGCAATCGTCTCGATAACAATCGCTCGATGACATGCCCAACACGAATCAACGGAGCAACGTGGAAAAGAGACCTCAAAAGTAAATAACAAAATTTAAAAACTATCAAAATATAATATTTATTTCATCTTTTTACAATATACAAAAAAGTTATTTTTACATTATAGTTACGCTCTTCTCGTTATTGCTCTTGCGACATCAAGTGCTGAAGCACGCTAATTTTTTATATTTGGGTTCAAACAGATATATCATTCAGCGTTGATTAATAATACATTTATTATTGATTTAAATTTATAATCAATACGTCTTATCAAATTAAGAAGTGTTTTCAAGTTATAACTATAAAAAAGCAAGTAATATATTGTACCAAATAAAATATAAAATATTCATTTTATCCATAACAATAAATGTTTATAATTCATATGACAACTATGTTAATAATTCTTTTAATGATATAATAAATTATTTGTTTACCTTTTTAAAATTTTAATTAGCTTCAAATGGCTGCATTTGTTCAATTGAAATAAATTTTACACGAATTGGATGTATAACTCGATTTATTAAATCTAACCGGAATCGAAAATCTTTCAAACAATCAATGGATTCAATCAATGGATTCAATCAATGGATTCCAAGTAAAAGTTATGCACCAAAGTAGCTATTACAGCCTTTATCTTCAACATGGCAAATCGCTGACCTATTAACAAGCATTTCTAAAAATATTAGAAATAATTTATACGTATACATATACGCCCAATGAGGTAACTCTTCGATGACGTATATCAACGTATATAAGCATCGTTCGCAGCGAAAAAGTTAAACGGACAATGAAATGTATAAATTTGTCAAAAAAAAAACATAAATTATGTACTGGCGAAAATAATCAACCAATGTATGATCCTCAGAGATTTTTTATAGTATTTGATGTGATAAGTAAGCGATAAATTTGTAATTTGCTTGCACTTTTTAAATGACATACATGTCTTAAGTTAGATATATATTTAGATATATATGTATAAGCACCTTTTTTTTACAGATAACAACTTAATATCAATATGTTCGGGAATGGACATTTATGTTAAATGTAATTGCAAACGCATCTGTAATTTTTCAATGTAATATTTCCGTTAACACTCTTGTAATCGCTCTGTGATCAGTCTCGTTCAACGCCGTCTCTCCCCACACGGCACTGATTTTCCACACGGTGCAAGTCGCCTGTGCGACTACCAAATTATAACGGGATAATCAAGCATTATCTGCAGCAAGAAAGAAAGCCTTCCGAGATCTCGATCGATACGAACAGTTTCTCAATGTACCGCTTGTTTCAACGAGAAAGTACGACTTGTGAAATAAAAGATTTCTTTTTGATTATATTTCAGAGTAATCATCATTTAAAGATTAATTCCGTCTTGGCGTACGAGCTTTTCTTATAAGGTCGACAGCAAAACACAAACACAATACCTGTAGCGGAAGAATCTTTGACATTCTTTGATTTACAACAAATAATTCTGAACAATGATAAACCCGAGAGCCTTAACCTCGAGTCCAGCAGTACATTTACGAGCATTCAGTCAGCCCAACATGGTATGAATTTTTATCACGTTTATGTCTTTGATAATGTGCTTTTGATAATGGCACAATTATCAAATATTTACCATGACTAATATAACACTTATTTCTTCAATGTTATAACGTCTTGGAAAGATCATAATGCAACAAAGCGATTAATTTATGCCTGGAAAGAACATGAAAAGGATTTTATATGTGGACAATACAAGTCCTCAAAAGTATGGAAAAATATTGCCACTGTTCTTCAAAATGAGAACAATCAGTAGGTCACTGGCGTACAATGTGAAACAAAAAAAAACTGCGCAAGAAATATTAAGGTAAAAGATCACAACAAGCAATTAGGCAATAGCCCAATGATCTGCAAATTCTTCAATGAATTTGAGGAAGTAAGTAATTAAGAAATAAACCATGTGTCCAACCTGTGGCCCTAGCCTCCAATTTGCAAAAGTGATCAATCTCCAATACTGAAGACAGTGAGATGGAAAATGAATCTAGTAAAGATAAGTATGATGGAAAGAAAAAAGTGAAGAAAACCAAAATTCAGAGAGAGCTGGGCGAGTGATCTGCTGCTTTACGTGAAGATACTAGGCGCAGGAAGGAGGCAAGGGAACAGTGTCACCAGGAACTGTTGGCAGCATCTGAGGAAGCAGTTCCTACATACAAGGAAATGATGGAGAAACTCATTGCCAAGTTATAAGGACACACATTGAATAGAATTGTAAGCATGAAATGTTCTATTGCAAGTGTTCTAAAGAAAATCTGTGATAGTCACATTCTAATAAGTACTCAGTCAACAAAGTCTGTTCGAACAGATATTGCCAAATGTCTGTTACGAATTTTTGTCAGCAGAAAGACTGCAGATTGTATACAAACCTGTTACATCAGATGATGATGGCAGAATGTCAGCAGAAATGTTACAAAACCTGCTGACATAATTTGACAGCAGATCAGTAGCAGAAACCGAGTAGGATTTGCTCGGAATTATTACAGCAGATTGGCGGCAGAAACCGAGCAGAACCTGCGCTGTCAACCTATGTCGACAGATTCTGTCGACAGAACACGAGCTTAATGCGGACACAGATGGCACCGTATTTGCTGCCAAGTTCTGAGCGAATCTGCTCGCAAACTATCAGCAGGCTGCTAATATTTTGTTGACTGGGTAATTACATAATAGAACATATTATTTTATCTCGAGTCATCGTTAGTTGTTAGTGCGAAAATTATTAATGTTTTTCATATCGAAATTTTAATTCGTCTACTAGAGACCTTATTAAACATGTACACTGATCTCGAATTCGAGATACTAAAGTATACGAAAATTACATACAATTACATGTTCTAAGAACAGTCGCCCGGAAAGCGGAAGACCCGGGTTCAATTCCCGGCTTAGCCACTCGAGCCCTGATATTTTTTCTCTTGTTCTTGCTTTCTTCAAATAACTTCGTTTCAAAAGCTATGTAAAAGCCAGAGCTAGATCAAGTTGCTCACAAATTATATTCGTCGATAGGTAATTACAAATGTTTCGGCACATGAGATTCGACCATCCTCACAATTAGTTAAAAAATAAATAACTTAAAAAAAAAACTTTTTTTATTTATTAATAAAATTAGGAATTTTCAAGAAGTTTTTCACTTAAAACGTTTACATTTTATTTACATAAATTATCTTGTTTTTAATAGTGACAGTATAATAACAATATATTACTCCATACTCAAAGAAGGATTTTACCTGTTGCACATTATATAAATATTTAATATATTGTCATATTAAAATAATAAAAATATTTATATTTAATTTAATTAATATTTTTAAAATATTTGTATACAATATTATTAGAATTTCCTGAATACCATGCCTCTACCACTTTTATAAATATAAAGTAAAGATCAGATATAAAAATCATAAATATCATAAATATAAAATAAAGACAATAAATTTTTTCTTGACAAACAAATCCGTGTTGCACAAGCAAATGTTATTAATAAACAAGCTGATAGAGCCAGAGCTAGATTTTTTTACGCGCTCAATTATCTATTTAAATTAAGAGTACAGACATTTCGGCCATTGTTTTTGGTTTTTCTTAGTGTACGGTAATTTAATAAGGATTTGATAACGCAAATGTGTGAGAACGCATTCAAATGTTAAACCTTAATACGTCTAGTTTTTTGTACGCCGAAAACATAATGAAGCGGTACGGAAGGACGAAACTCTTCTATATGATGTCACTTCATATTCCCGAAATTCATTTGTGAGTAATTTCTTAGTGCGCATTAAAATTTCTTCTTGAGTGTTTATCCGTTACAAATTACAAATAAAAATTAGCATAATCCATATTCGTTAGCCTTCAACTCTTATTGAGACACAGATGTTTTTACGAAGTCATAATTTAAAAGTTTAATATTTATAAGTTAAAATTGCCAAGTTCTATTGTAAAAAAGGATGTCCTTCTCCGAACGTTGACGAATAAACAAGTGATGAATGACCAAGACATCAATTTATAATCATAACGGCATTTACAACGGAATGACATTTTTAACTTCTAAATAATTAAACTTTTTGCACTGAGGAAAACCGAAAACAATGGCCAAAACATCTATACTTTAATTAATTAAAATAAATAACTAAACACGTAAAAAAATCCAGCTCTTGCAGCATGTTTATTCTGCATCCTTGATGATAAAGTTTCGATAAGACTTCTCATTCTGTCCTCGAACCTGATTTTCTCTGAAATGATAAGAGGTACAGACTTTTGTCCGGTCTCATTCGATCAGGTTTTTCAAGATCTTTTGGACAAGTCTTATGTTTATCCATCAAACTACCGTATAATATATCAGAAGAAGAACGTCACACCCGGAATTATTATTTTATTGTAGTATCGACCTTATTTTATCCCACTGTGATAAAAGTGAGCTGGTTTGAAGGCAAAAAAATCGGCAAGCCAATTTTGTATTTTTTCGTCGTTTTTAAAGATAATGCCACGCATACTGCTGGAGAGGGAATGGTAAAGGTGGTAATCCGACGGGGCGAGGTCCGGTTAGTAGGCCGGATGCGGCAGAATCTCCCAACCAAGCTCCTGGATGGCTGCTTTCGTAAAATTAGCTGTGTGCAGCCGAGCAATGTCATGTTGTCATATCGACGGTTTGGTCGTTTTTGTTGAATCGCATTGACCAGACGTCGCAGTTGTTGCAAATAAAGCTCGGCTGTGATAGTTTAATTTTTTGGAAGTAACTCGAAGTGGATGACACCTTCCCAATCCCATCAGACCAACAGCATTGTCTTCGGTAAAAAAGCGCTATGGACTTATGATACTATCCAATATTATGTTTTAATTTTATATGAAATTGGTAGAATGTAATAAAGACTAATAATAAATTTACCTCGGATTAATCAACAATTTGACGTGAAATAGTATTCAACAATGCAACAAGATTTTCCTCGGGCTCCAAATGCAACAGTCGGCAAGATATATCCCACAACTTTTTGCTATAATCGGCATTCATCGCTCTGCTATGTGTCATGGCAGGACTGCAATCACTAACAAAAACAAAGAAAAATGACAAGTATTACATAATTAATTTTTAAATATAAAATAATAAAATAAAATTAATATATAAAAAACATATTCATATACAGGATGATTCAAAATAACCTGATGTCCTTGCAATGCCATATTTTTGAGCGAATTCTGAGACGATTTTCCCTTTAACAAAATTTTGTCCAAAGCTTAGTTTTCGAGTTATAATTGAAAATAGGTAGCAACTTACAAGTTCGGTACAACGGGCAGGCAGGGACG